AAAACTGTGAGAAACAAGTGTTTCTTGCCCATGATATTTTGTTATGAAGCCCAAATGAACTCTAATCTCTCTCTGCAAGACAACCTTTAATCTTTCTTTCCGCATCCACAGCTCCTAGTAAAATGTCTGGCACAAAATAGTTGTTCACTAATCTTCTTTGCTAATTGTGGAGTAAAATTTGTTGTTGTTGTTGCTGTTGAAGATATTGCAGGCATGGGTTTGTGGGAGAGGTAAGTCTTGGAGTGGGGCTGGTGTAAGAGGAGAAGGAGAATTTCCAGGTGTCTTTGTATCACCCAGCCCCATGGGATTCAACCTCTTTAAGCTCCAGGACAATGTCTTTCCCAGCAGCACACTTATTCTCAGCATAGCTAATACCTAACATCACACACACAACATTAAACATTTAAAGCTATTCTGACTTACATGGGTTCAGTTCTATTCAAATGCTGTATCAAGGACCTACTGTGTATGAAGTGATGGTGAAGATGGGAGAGTAACCCCATTTTTAAGTTGTCAGGAGCCACATGTGGCTAGTGGCCACAGCATTGAACAGTGCAGATGTACAATAGAACCTTCCCATCATTCTAGATATATGTTATCTGTTATACAACATATATCTAGACCTTTTGTACAACACTGAGTTCTTAATGAGTTCAAGCTCAACTTCCTGTCTCTTCTTTATGGAATTGATAACATGTAATCACTTCTATCGTTTACTCATGTCTATTAAGTCACCCACAATCTTTTCAGAGTTCCCCACTTTTTTCTCTTTAGCACTTGTCATTATCTATTTAGCTTTCTATGGCTGGTGTAACTAATTACCATAAATTTAGTGGAGAAAAACACAAATTTATTATTATGTAGTTCTGAAAGTCAGAAGTTTAAAGAGGTCTCAGTGGGCTAAAATCAAGATTTTAGTAGGGCTGCTTTCCTTCCGGAGGCTCTATGGCAGAATTTGCTTTATTTATTTTTTGTCTTTTCTGCCCTCTAGAGGCCATCTGCATTTCTTGGTTGGTCCCCCTCCTCCATCTTCAAATCTAGCGTCCTTCTCTTCTGCGTCTTTGTCCACTTTAAAGGCCCTTGTAGTTATAATTGGCTCACTTTGATAATTCAGGATAACCCCCCCAATTTAGCAATCTTAATTCCATCTGTATTCCTCTTTGCCATGTAACATAACATATTCAAAGTCTAAGAATTAGGAAGTGGAGATCTTTGGAAGGTTATTATTCTGTATACCACACTACCTTTTGTTCTAGAAGAAAGCACAGCAAAAGAAATATAATTCATGTGTACGGAGTATGAGTGGCAGGTGAGAGGCAAGGCTTTGTGATTTGAAAAGCAGTGTAGTGTGGACAGAGGAGAGGCTTTCTGGAGTCAGACTGCCTGGCTTTGGGTCTTATTGTGATCTTGGACAAATATTCCAGAGCCTCAGTTTCCTCACCCATGAATGGAAATAATGACAGGAACCACCTCATATAGTCATGGTGAGGATCAGAAGAGATAATGTATGTAAAGACTTGGCAAATAGTAAACCCTCAAATGTCAGTTACCATTTGGAAGCTAAAAATGCATGATTTAAATGTGTTCTAGGTTTGAAAATAGCTCCAAATTCCATTTATGTTAAGAACCACATTCTGTTCTTTATTCCTGTGTGTGTGATGGTCCCTGAGAGCTAGGTGGTCACCTAGTGCTGTGTGGAAAGAAGTCCTGCCTGTTCCAAAGGCCATGGCAGGAAGCCAGGTGACCCTAAGAGCTTCCATTCTGTCATATGCCCATACACTTGGGACTTGAAAGTCAAGTGCATGTCGTAAGTCTAAAAATCTAATAAAGGGACTTTTGTCATCTTGAATGCAATAAAATGTGCTAGTGCTGATGTATTTTAGAAAGTTCTGGACTTCTGGCCAAGATGGAGGCACAGGTAGATAGACTTTGCCTCCTTGCACAACCAAAAGAAGGACAGCAACAAATTTAAAAACAAAAAATAACCAGAACTGCCAGAAAATCAAACTCTGTTGAAGTCTGACAACCAAGGAGTTAAAGAAGAAACATTCATCCAGACTGGTAGGAGGGGTGGAGATGGGCAGCTGGGGTGGAGAGGACTCATGGCAAGGTGGCAGCTGGTGGACTGGGTAAGGCAGTGGCTGGCAGAGTGGGTGGTCCCACATTTGTGTGCAGATAAACTGGGAGGAACAACTGGGGAGTAAGACAGATTGCACAGGGTTCCAGCTCTGGGGAAATAAAGCCTCAAAATCTCTGACTGAAAAATTTGTGGGGGTTGAGGTGGCAAGAGAAACTTCCAGCCTCACAGGAAAGTTTGATGGGAAGACCCACAGGGTCCTAGAACATATACAAAACCACCTACTAGAGAATCAGCACCAGAAAGGTCCAATTTGCTTGTGGGTAGAGGAGGAAGTGAGTGAAAGCTGGCCAAGAGCTGAGCAAGCAGCATTGTTCCCTCTCAGACCCCTCCACAACATACAATGCCACAATGCAGTGACATGGGTTACCCTGCCCTAGCAAATACCTAAGGCTCTACCCCTTACTACATAACAGGTGCACTTAGACAAAAAAAAATATGGCCAAATAAAAGACCAGGTTAAAGCTCAAGAAAATATAGAACTAAATGATAAAGAGATATACAACCTATCAGATGCACAATTCAAAACACTGGTAATCAGGATACTCACAGAATTGGGTGAGTATGCTGGCAAAATAGAGGGAAGAGTGAAGGCTATATAAAGTGAAATAAAGGAAAATGCACAGGGAACCAACAGAGATGGGAAGAAAACTGAAATTCACATCAACAGCTTGGACCAGAAGGAAGAAATAAACATTCAACCAGAACAGAATGAAGAAACAAGAATTTAGAAAAATGACAAGAGGCTTAGGAAACTCCAGGACAACTTTAAATATCCCAACATCCACATAATAAGGGTGCCAGAAGGGGAACAGAAAGAGCAAGAAATTGCAAATTTACTTGAACAAATAATGAAGGAAAACTTCTCCAATCTGGCAAAGGGAATAGACTTCCAGGAAGTCCAGGAAGCTCAGAGAGTCCCAAAAAAGTTGGACCCAAGGAGAAACACACCAAGGCACATCATAATTACAGTACCCAAGATTAAAGATAAGGAGAGAATCCTAGAAGCAGTGAGCAAAAAGGAGGCAGTTACCAACAAAGGAGTTTCCAGAATACTATCAGCTGATTTCTCAAAAGAAATCCTGCAGGTAAGAAGGGTCTGGAAAGAAGTATTTGAAGTAGTGAAAGGCAAGGACCTACATTCAAGATTACTCTATCCAGCAAAGCTAGATCATTTTGAATGGAAGAGCAGATAAAGTGCTTCCCACATAAGGTTAAGTTAAAGGAGTTCATCATCACCAAGCCCTTATTATATGAAATGTTAAAGGAACTTATCTAAGAAAAAGAAGAATATCAAAAATATGAACAGTAAAATGACAACAAGCTCACAACTATCAACAACCGGACCCCCAAAAAACAAAAACAAAAATGAACTAAACAAACAACCAGAACAGGAAAGATTCACAGAAATAGAGATCACGTGGAGGGTTATCAGTGGGGAGTGGGAGGGAGAGGAGGAGAATGAGGAAAAGGTACAGGGAATAAGAAACATAAATTATGGTAGGTACAAAATAGACAGAGGAGGTTAATAGTATAGGAAATGGAGAAGCCATGGAACTTACATGTATGACCCACGGACATGACCTAAGGTAGGGGAATGATGATGGGAAGTGTGGTACAGGGCAGGGGGAAATTAAGGGGGGGATGGGACAACTGTAAGCATAATCAATTAACTATATTTTAAAAAATAAAAAAAAGAAAAAAGAAAATTTCAAGAATTTCTGCGTTATAAGGGAATTTCTTTGAACCATTGTAATGATGCTTGAGTGTTCTCTATAATAATCTGCTAAAATAGTCATCCCTGTTTAAGTGACCCAGAAAGGGCAATTGCACTACCTTTTAAGTTAAAAAACAGCAACAACAATAGAATAGGTAATACATGCACATGGCATTACAATTAGAAGGGTCTGCAGCTTCAGCAATGCAGTTTCCTTCTCCAGAGTGAACTATTCGTATTGGTTTCTTGTATGTCCTTCCAGCATGTTCTATGCATTTGTACTCTATCTGTTCCTCTTGCACCATCCCCTGCAGCAGTACTAGCTTATCATACTTATCATTCTATACCTACCCCCAACTCCTTGGTCAATTTTAAAAATATATCTTGGAGATTATTCTATATGGCTATGACAGCAGTCCAGTATAAGGATGTACCATAACCTATCTTATTAATAATTTATTTATAAGGTTATCTGTACTGTTTTGCTTTTGCAAGTAGTACTGCAAATAATCTTTGTACTTACAACATTTTACACAATCCAAGTATGACTGTAGGATAACTTTTTCCAGTGGAATTTCTTGGTCACATATGATTTGCATATTGAATTTTAAAAGTTAATGCCAGTGTCAGTGGAAAGTAAATTGGTACAGGCACTATGCAAGACAGTATGGAGGGGCTTCAAAAAATTGAAAGCAGAACTACTATACAATCTAGCAGTCCCATTTCTGAGTAGATACCTGAAGGAAATAAAATCACTATATTGAAGAAATACCTGTGTTTGCACGTTCATTGCAGCATTATTTACAATAGCCAAGTCATGGAAACAACCTAAGTTCTATTGGTAAGAAAATGAATAAAGAAAATGTGCTATGTATCTAATGGGGTATTATTCAGCTACAAAAGAAGGAAATCCTGCCATTCATGACAACATGGATGGAACTCAAGGGTATTATGCTCAGTAAAATAAATCAGACAGAAGAAGACAAATACCATAGAATCTCATTTATATGTGGAATTAAAGAAGAAGCAATACTCACAGAAACAGAGTCAAATAGTGGTTTCCAGAGGCTGGGGGATGGTTGGGAGAAATGAGGAAATGTTGGTCAAATGGTACAGACTTCCAGTTTTAATATGAACAAATTCTCTGCTCACTTCGTCAGCCCATGTATTAAAATTGGAATGATACAGAGAAGACTAGCATGACCCCTGTGTAAGGATGATGTGCAAATTTGTGCAGCATTCCATATTTTAAAAAAATGAACAAATTCTTGAGACCTAATGTACAGCATGGTGACTATAGTTAACAATAATGTATTGTATGCTTTAAAGTTGCTAATAGTGTAGATAGATCTTAAATGTTTTCACCACACACACACACAAAGTTGTAATTATATGACGTGATGGATGTGGTAATTAACATTATTGTGATAATCATTTTGCAATCTTACATGTATCAATGTATAAAAGTTTGGGCCAAATTACTCTTCATAGTTTATCAATTTATTTTTCCACCAGCAATTGTGAGAAATATTTATTCAACCAAATACAACTGTTTGTCAATTGTTATCAAACATTTTGATTTTGGTCAAACAAATTAAAAATATGGTATTATAGTTTTAATTTACATTTATCTTACAAATAATGTAGGTGAGCATATTATATGTTATGTTTAAGAGCCATTCATATTTTCTTTATAAATGAAGAGCACCTGGTCCATTTTTTTTATTGAGTTGTTAGTCTTTTTCTTATTGATTTACAGGGTTTATTTATTTTAAGGAAATGACCTTTCCTTAGGTTTACACCAATATTTTCCTCAGTGTGTTGTATGTTTTTAAACTTGTGGTTTTTAAAGACAAAAATTTCTTATTTTATTTGTTTGAATATACTTTTGTTTAATATAGGGATTCTGAATTTTAGGTAGTCCTAAAGTTTTCTCTTTATCAAGATTTTATAATAAAATTTCCTACTTTTTTAAAAAAGTATTTTATTGGTTCCATTATTTTATATTTAAATCATGGGTCCATCCGGAATTTGTTTGAGTGCAAGGTGTGAAATAAGGATTAGACTTTCTGTGTCTCCAGATGGTGTCCCAGTTGTTGCCATTTATGGAGCAATCTGTCTTTCTCCCACTGATATGCATGCAATGCCATCATATATTAACATCATGTATGTATTTGAGTCTATTTCTGGATTTTTGTCTTCTGTAATTCTCTACCCTTCAGACTATATATTTGGCCTTTGGAGCTCTTCAATGCTCTTTGTCCCAAACCCCCAAAACACAAGAAAGGAAGTACCTATTCAGTTGACAAGATTCAAGGTTTTTGTGATGGTTCTATTTGGAACTAAACTCACGTGTGACATTAGAAAGAAAGGCATAAGTATCAGAAAATTCCTCCCCACTCTTGGGTGCATTCATATTCCTTCAGGATTCAGTGGTTTCAAATCACCACACTGGAAAGATAAAATAAAAAAATGGGCTTTTCTCCTCTCTTGTGGGGAACCACTTGATAATGATGGAGATACTGATGATTATAATTACCATTCTGGTTGTGATAGGCATCTTAAATAGGTTATTTCATTGATTCTTCCAACAACTGATACATTAGCATTTTATCCCCATATTACATAAGAAAGGAGTGAATGGAAATGGAACTTATGAGATAACACCCACACAAATATCAGGTGTTAACAGTTTCCAAAGCTAGGACTCATATTCTGTAATACAGGATCTCTGGCACAATATAACCAATGAAATCCCACTTTTTTCACTTACTCACTCCTTCATTAATTCATTTTATAATTACTTTTGAGCACTTGGTTGCTATTAACAGGAGTCAAGGGATAAAAAGGAGGCATAAATCAATGAAGCTGTCCATTTGGTATACAACAGGAAGTGATGGAAGCATATGTCCCATCTGAGGTCGGCAGGTGTCCCTCAGCCCAGACCATTGTTGAAAGATGAGCTCAGTGTTGCCTGATATTCAGATTCTCAAAAAGAACCAGAAATCCAGATTTTTATGTGAAATCTCCCAATTTTTAGATGTCAACAAATTATAACAACAATCAGTATATGTTGTTTAAAACTCAATGCTTAATTCTAAAGGTTTCTTTGTAGATGGTGAATTAAACAAACATATTTATTCAACAAAATGTAACTCAGCAATGGAAGGGAATGAATTCCTGATACATGCACATATACACAAAAATCTCAGAAGCTCTTTCCTGAGCAGAACAAGCCGGATACAAAAAGCACACATGGCATATATCCATTTATTTGAAATTCTTGAACAAGCAAAATTAGCCCATTAACAAGGGCAGCTTTTGACTGGAAAGGGAATGAAGAAAATTTTAGGCATGCTAATAATATTCTGCATCTTTGTGAGGGGTTGGGTTATAGTGATTCATGCACTTGTGAAAACCTAGTGAGTGTACACTTAAAAAGTATGTATTTCAATGTATGTGAACTGTATACCAAAAATATATGAATAAATGTTGAACTCTAGTTAATGGGAATCATGCTGAAGTACTTAGGAAGAAGTATGCTGATGTCTGCAGTTGACTTTGAGATGAACTACAAATAAGGGTTTAATGGATGGAGAAGAGATATATAATACATCAAATTGAGTAAAATGTTAATGAATCCATGTTGCTGTGCATTTTTAAACTTTTACAATAAAATGTTGTGAAAATTAGCAAAACAAAAAAAAAACCAACAAAAACTGCATATGAGCTTAACACACACACATGCACACACTATACCATCATACTTACCATCCCATTACATGGTGTCGTCTCAGCAAGTTTATTATAATGACATCGTTCCTGCAGTTCTCCCATCTACCTCCATGGGCTTGATTGATCTGGCATGGTTCAGTGAATGAAGGTATGAGAAAATCCATCACCTGTTGACATCTTTAACATTTCTCCAACATGACCTCTCCGAGATGAAAGTGAGCATCCTTTTCATTAATCAAGGGGAAAGAAAGAAACCACTTTGGTGACACAGCTCTTTAGTTCCTTCTGCTAATCCATCTCGCCACATCGGCAGTCTGTCTCCACATGGTGGTTAAATTCAGAGGAGACAAAGATTAGCCCAGCACAGTCCCTTCATTAGAGAACAGGGTTTAGGAAGTGTTTGCTGCCTTGCTGTTCCCTGCGTTGGTCGAGCAGACACAGTCTTCATTTATCAGCAGCATTTCTGAGCAAGTAGCTCTGCCTGGGTTGAGTAGGCAGCCACTCTGTGCCCCTGGCTGTTGTTTGGATAATGGAGCAGATGAACAAGGAGTGCCTGAGTCTTGAAGGCGCCACTTGAATTGCAGGGAGATGGGAACAGGGGAGAGTAGTTTTTTCTCTAAAAACATTCTCTAAAGTGGCACCTTTTCAATACTTTTAAAAGATAATTTGTCATCATGACAGTTGTTAAGATTGTGATGCATACAAATGAAGGGTCAGTCTTGTAAACATGTGATTGATGCATCAGAGGCCACGCCTTCAGACATTTAGAGATTGTAATCAAAAGGCAGAACCTTTTTATGGGCCTTTTTCCTTGCTGGTTGAATTATTTACTGGAATATCCACTCCCCTTCCCCAAAGGAAAATACTCCTTCCTCCCTCAATGACATCATATTTTGCCTTAATGTGGCCAATGAAATGTGTGCAGAAATGATATGAGTCATTTCCAAGCAGAAGAGTTAAGAGCCATGTTCCCTTCCCTCTGACAAGGCAATGTCCCAGACCGTGGCTGCAACAGCAGGCCAGGTCCCAGAAAGAACAGGTATAGAGCACAGCCATGGCCGGTCCTGATGGACGCATTAGATGAGAGAGACATGAAGATTTTTTATTGTCAGGTCACTGAGCTTTTGGGGTCACTTTTTGCTGCAGCACAAACTAGTTCATCTCAACCGATGCACTCACCAACCAACCAAGGAGTCTCCCGCTTAAGTCCCATAGACAGATGTTTTTGACTTAAGACTTCTTCATAAAACTTTTGCCTAGTTTTGAAACCATGAGACTTACATAGTATAAGCTATCTTGGATAAAAACAAAGATAAGACAACTTTGGTGTGATTTCATATTGGGAGGGTGGTTGCTAAGGACCTAAGTGAAGAGACCATGTGGGCTCATTGGAGATGGGACAAGGGGGCATGGAGCAGTGTAGACCAGTGGTCTAGGATTCTACAGACTGGGCTTCAGCCCTGGACCTACTCTTCACTAGCTGTGTGGCTTTGAACAAAATCCTTGGCCTCTCTAGTCCTCTAGCTACTAGCTGGGGTTGTTGTGAACTCAGTCATATGAAAGAGCAAGGTCAATGACATGGCCTACCATCAGGGTTCATGTTGCTTTCCTTCTCTTCCTCCTTCCCTTCTTCCTCTTCTCCTTCTCCCCATTCACCTGAATAATAATATGAAGGAATGGTGAGAGATTGTACATAGAGCATGGACAAGACAGGGTGTGCCTGCAGACTGACAGGACCCTAGCCTGCCCCAGAGAGGGGCCTTGTGTTCGAAGTTTCTGGCAGACACATTTGGATGGCAGCTTTGCCACTTCCTGGCTGTCTTAATGTTTTTCAGTGCGCAGTCCAAAGCAATGTTGAATAAAGACATAGATCTCTCCTCAAAAGTATTTTTAAATATATAAAACAAAATAATTAGAATTACAAAGAAACTGATTTTTTGTTTTTTACATTTTTAAAAAAATGATTTATTGATTACAATATTACAGTTGTCCCATTTCCCTCCTTTACTCCCCTCTGCCCTGTGCACCCCGTCCCATCTGCATTCCCCACCTTTAGTTCATGTCCATGGGTCATATATATAAGTTGTTTGGTTTCTACATTTCCTATACTATTCTTACCCTCTCCCTGTCTATTTTCTACCTACCATTTATGCTTCTTATTCTCTGTACCTTTTCCCCTTCTCTCCTCCTCCTACTCCCCAGCTGATAACCCTCCATGTGATTTCCATTTCTGTGATTCTGTTCCTGTTCTAGTTGTTTGTTCAGTTTGTTTTTGTTTTAGGTTCAGTTAGTAATAACTGTGAGCTTGTTGTCATTTTACTGTTCATATTTTTGATATTCTTCTTTTTCTTAGATAAGTCCCTTTAACATTTCATATAATAAGGGCTTGATGATGATGAACTCTTTTAACTTGACCTTATCTTGGAAGTACTTTATCTGCCCTTCCATTCTAAATGATAGCTTTGCTGGATAGAGTAATCTTGTATGTAGGTCCTTGCCTTTTATGACTTGGAATA